GTATATATATTTAGAGGTATATATATTTATAGGTATATATGTATATACCCCTGCAGAATGCGGGCTAACGCGCGGACGTGTCACTGATGTGCCAACGCATCAACGAGCAGCACGGTGACAACGAGACGGCTCCCCCCTTCTCTCCACTTCATCATTTATCCTAGGTCTATTTTTCAAAGGCGTGGAGCGTTCGCGCGCGGGGCGCAGGGCCAAATAAGGTGCTCCCGTTAGACCTTGCTCCGCCTCTACTGCGTCTATCCTTCTCTGCCCCCTCGTTGCGACTTCACACGTGCTTGATTGATACACCCTTCAGACAGCTGCTCATTTTTCAGAGCTTGCACACACCGTTCGGGGGGTCCCGTCCTTTTCGCCGCGTAACCGCGTAACCGCGTAACCACTCAACCACTTTGTCTGCCAAATCGGGGGCCGCCAATTTTGCAGCCCTTCCGCATTTGCCCGCGTCAAATTTGAGGGCGATAACTGGCCGAGTGGGACACGTGCCCAGCTGCTAAGCTAAGCGGCTATGTCGAAAACCTGCCCTTGGCGAAGGTGGACGAACGGCTTTTCTCTTGCGTATCGCAGATCACGTAATGGGGCCTCCGCGACAGGGAAAAAAACAAAAAAAAATAAATTGTAAGTTTATACCACTCGTGAAGGACGTACCTAGGTTTCTTCCTTTTTTTTTTTTTTTTTTTTTTCACGTTGTAGGATTTTTTTATTTTTTAATTGGCTCTCTCGTGAAGATATGGCGAAGAGGAAAAAAAAAAAACGGAACAAATGGGAGGAGTGCAAAACTGTCCAATTGCCAAATTGCGAAATTACCAAATTGAAGTGAATAAATCGTGGGCGGGGGGGCGAATGGATGAAGGGGAAAATAAACGGAGAGAAAGTTAGGAGCAATCCCGCCTGTCGTTTAATTTGTTTGCAAAATTTAGGTGAAGTGTTTAAAAAAAATGCCCACCCCTGTAAGAATTTTACTTCGCGCAGAGCAAGTTTGCGTTTTTACGCTGCTTCGCACGTTTGGTTTGCTTAAATTCCTTAGCTTGTTTGACATGTTTAACGTGTTTGGCTGTCCTTTCGGAAAATTCCCTGTGCGGTGTCTTTCCCCGTCCGCATTCGTTCCTTTTGAAAAGTCGCGCGGAACGGCTTCTTACCTTGCGAGAAAAACAGAGCTGCTATGCAAATGGACACATGGGCCAAGGGGAAGAAAAAGGCGTTAGGCGATTTTTACCCCCAGCGAGGAAAATGGCTGGAGCGCACAAGTGACCGAAGGGAAGAACGAGCTGAAAACAACGTCAAACAGGGTCACCCCCGTTGAAAAGGAGCATGTCAAATGGCCCAACTAACCGCGTCGTGGTTAGCTAAAGGGGCATTCTATGCACACACGCCAAAAGAGGCATCCTTTTTGAGCTTTTTAAAAAGTGCATAGTGTGATAACAGAATGGGGGGCGAAGTTCCAAATGGAAAAAATGGCATTAAAATAAAACGGAGTCTATAAATGTATGTGTATATATGGTATATATAACGTAACTTTGACGAAGCTGAAAGAGGGAAAATTTCTTTTGTTTGGCCAATTTTCCAGGGGTTCCCAATTGTGATGCCATCTTTGCTGACAATTTCTTCCGCACTTACTCGGTTTCGCCAGGGGGCAGCAAAGACGCGGCAACGGGTGGTCTGCGCGCGTTTGGAAGTTAGGGCGTTCACTTGTTCACGCGTAGCAACAGGTTAGCGCGGTTGCGCTTTTTTTCTTCATTTGCATTCACGTGTGTTCACTTGTGTTGGTTTGCGTTCCTTTGTGTTCACTTACGTTCACTTGACTTCACTTCCGTCCGTTCGTGCCTCTAATCGCTTCCTCACCCATCGCGCCATTCGAATGGTGCCGCGGTTTCCCACAGAGGGAGAAATTCCCCCATTTTTTCCCACGCCCGCATATTTGCACACACATACAGGAAACAAGCGAATATCCGCCCAGAACAAATTACGGCGTCAAGTTTTTTTTTTTTTTTCCTTCGCCACTCTTCTAATGTAACGGTTAATCGGGGTAGTTGCAAAATGTCACAAGTCTGATATTTTTTTTTTTTTTCCCCAAATGTAGATATGTACATATATATGTACGAAATATAAACGTACCTGTGTGAAACCACCGGGCAGGGGAGCGAATAACCAAATTCTCACTCGCATCACCCGTCCAGATGCATTGCCCCTATTTTGTTTGTCACATTTAATTGATCTACAGATTGGACACTACTTTCCTTGCCATAGCCATTTCGCTGTAGTACATTTTTTTTTTTTTTCCCCCCAAGATGTTTTACTTCGATCCCCACAATTTTCTCTACGTGGGGGGATGCTTCCTTGCATCCGTCTGTACCCTCTGCGTCTGTAGAAATAAGGATTTGTTTCCTCATATCAGTGAGAATAAGCCAATCGGTAAGCTACCCCTCAGTGGAGTAGTATCTCCAAAAGGAGGAAACAAACTGTTGAGCAGGCGAGGGAGCCATTTTGTCCAGATGGTGAAATAGTGAACATCGCTCGTCGTTTGTATCTTCCTCATTTTTGTGGCTCACGTACAGAGTGAAAGAAATGACGCCAAGGAGATTGTCTGCCCCTTCTTTCACATCACCTCTCCACACACATACATACATGAATACGTACATACAGCCATACATACACACACACATACGTACAATCCTCCTCTCAGGCCAATTGTACCGCCTCCTAAACATCCACAAGTATGAATCGTTCAATATCATCATTCAAATTCACCACATCAACTTAAAAATGGGTGACGATGACAACAGCAAGTACATTGTCCATCTGAAAATCGGAAACAGATATTCCTACACCCACTACTACAAGCAGTACCTCAACAAGATACACATAGAAGTAAAAAAAAAAAAAAAAAAAATGGGAAGAAAAAATAGGGAAGGAGTAGTCTCCTCCTCACTTAGGTTCATGCATTCTACATCTCCTTATGCATTATACATCTGCTTATGCGTTCTACATCTCCTTACGCGTTCTACATCTGCTTATGCGTTCCATATCTGCTTATGCGTTCACCATCCTCTTATGCGTGCGCCTCCCCTACCATGCGCACCCCTCCCCCCCCTTCACACAAGAGTAGGAAAGAAAAAACATGGTGGTTAAACAGAACAACGACACCATCAGAATCGAAGTGTACAAAAAGGGAACTCTAAAAAACACATTCATCGGATCAGCTGACCTTCACATCTACACAGACATCGTGAAGAAGTTGTTCCCCTGCAACATGTATTTCAATATATCCAACAAGAACCAAATAGTAGCAACAGCCTGCTTGTCTTTTCACTACATAAACTTAGACTGCATAAAGAAGGAGGACCAGATATACACCTCCCTATTTATCGAGACGATAATCGCTGTTCAGAAAAGCCACAGCAGGAATAATGAGATGATTGAGAAACTCATAAATGAGGGCAGGGAGCACTTCGATGCCATTAAGGAGACGGACGTCAGCTCGAGTAGGGCCACACTCACTTTGCGGCGCGCTATGATGCGCCAGGGAGTGTCAGGGAGTGTCAGGGAGTGCCAGACGGAACGCATTCCCAGAGTGCTCCCCCTGACATTGCTCCTCCTGACATTGCTCCTCCTGATATTGCTCCTCCTGATATTGTTCCTCTTCATATTGCCGCTCCCCCCGCGCAGCCATCTACAGGAACATTTCCTCCCTGGCAATCGAAGACAAAATTCGGCTCTTTTGCAAAAATTTGAATGGCTACCTGCTGCACAGCAATTTTTACATCAAGCGATTCTACAATAAGTACTTCTTCTACATGCACTTCTTTAAGGGAAAATTCTACTGGTGCTACTATAATGAGGAAGCCGACGCGAAGGTTCGTTTGGGCCATCCCTCAATTTTACACCGCACGAATTTGTGTTTATGCGGAACATTTGTTTGACGCGATCGTTACACACAGTGTGTCTGCACCCCCTAGTCATTTCTCCTCCCCCCCCCTCTCCCATCTCTTGCCCCTCACAGGTGGACAAAAACCGAGTGGGATACATCCGCCTCGAATACGTAGTGAACGTCTACAGTGACGTCTACAGCCACAAGTACTTCTACATCAAGTATAGGAAAAAAAGAGAGAAAAAGGAAAACTACTTATATCTTAAGACAGTGGAGAAAGACAGAAACATATGGGTGAATATCATTCACGACTTCATCATCCTAGTAAGTAATTACAGACGTGAGAAAAAAAACAAAAGAAATAGAATCAAGGAGCTCACAGATAACTATACTGAGGGAGCGTCCAAAGAGGCCATCGAAATTAACAAACAATTGTCTCGCTCTTTCTCCACGAATTCTATAAAAAATAAGTACCTAAATAAGAAAAATGTCGTCGATACCCTGAGCAACGTCGACAAGGACGAGGGTCACACCAAGGCTGCTGAGCTGGATCAGGGCTTGGGGGACGACTCGAAAAACATGTGCAATTACAGCGATTAGCCCAGCACAGTTGGCCCGCTGACCCAGTTGACGCAGTTAGCCCAACTGATCGAAATGTCCCCTTTTTTTTCGCTCTTCCTTTCCACTTGGGGGGGCTAAACATGTGCATGCCGCCAATCTGAGCAGACTCCGCGTGGGGGTCCCGCGGCGCTCCTATTTATCACATCATTTTACAGGCGATGTGTAGACACATGCCGTATATGTATGCTTTTTTTTTCCTTTTTTTTGCACCCCTCCGTGTGGCGATCCCACATGTGCCTCATTCTTAATTGCACACTTTGCATGTCGAATGATTTTAAAAAAGGGACAAGAGAACTTCATCCCATATTCACTTTCACTTGTGCATTTATTTATCTCTGTTTCTTCGTCCCTTGCTGCTCAGCCTTTTTGTAATTTAGTAGGTCTCTTTGTTTGGCACAAAGACGAAAAAAAAAAAGAAAAAAAAAAAAACCGAGAAGCGAAATTTTACATCGATTTGTAGACACATATAAACGAGTTGCACTGTGCGTGTCGCGAGCTATGCGTTTGAGATGGTCTCTAAAAGGCGGTTAGCCTGGCGCATGACGCGATCACTATCGGGAATGCCCCCCACGAAGGCATCTCCATTAGTGCTTTGGCAAAATTTAACAAACGGAGTGGTATCCACGAGGCTGAAAAGAAACTGGTTCCGAAAATTCTTCCTCAAGAAATTGTAGAAGAAAATAACCTCAGTGCATATTAGAAGCGATTCATCACATTCCTGTTTTAGGAAAATCCGATTTTCGCACTTGCTTACAACTGTCTTCTTCATTTCGTGTGGGTAAAATAGAAGAAAGTGGAATAATTTTTCTTCCCCTTTTTCGAAAATGTACGTTACATCTGATATTAAGAAGCTGTTTATCTTGTAAAATGATTCCATTCCGTTGGGGTAATTTCTGCTATTCTTCGAAGAAACACCTGCAACATTGCTACATCTGTGCAGTTGGAAACTCTGTCGAAGGAGGTCTACCGTCTCCTGGACACTTCCATACATGTACCTATTAATCGTTTTGTTATTATGGACTGTGGGCGGAGTGCCGCGCGGGCTGCCTTTGTCGCCTCTCAACAGATTTAGGAATTGCAAATCTTCCTCTTTTAACTCAAACGGGCTTTTAAGGGGGGCGCATCGGTTTCCCATTTGGGTACCCATTTGACGGTCCATTTGGGAACCCCTCCCCTCCAGCGCCCTCACTACTTCGTCGTGCACCTCTTCGCTTATCGATTTTACAAAATGCAGAAGGTATTCCACTTGGAGGGAGCAGTCGCTACGCAGGCCATGCAAGCTACCTACCCTATCTGCCTCCTCCGCGTGAGGCCCCCGACGTGAAAAAAGATCCAACTTCTGGAACAGCTTAACGATGGTACCCCTCTCACGGTGCAGGTTCTCCTCTAACCGCTTCATATGTTCATCCAAAGTTGCATCCATCTGCCCAATTTTCACAATCTCATTTGCCCCCTTCGAAATCAGCGACAGGAGATCAAACCTGCCACTTGCATCTCCCTTCCAGTTGTGAATCAAAATGAGCAGAAAGTTTATATAATCGGTGAAGCCCACGTGGCATGGTAACGTATCCGTTTTTTCTATTTTGCTGAACAAAGTTCCCTTGTTTGGTAAGGCAAAATTTGGGTCCGTCTGAGTTTCATCCATGGGGGGTGGTTCCCTATCAGAGAGCTTTCCCCCCACAGGGACGCTCCTTCCAACCGAGTCATCACCAGGATTTTCAAAACTTCCAGTCTCATCATGCACCCCGTTCGGAGTGGTCGACCTGGAGATGCGATCCAAGTCTACGAGGTTCCCCTTCATATTTATTTCTGCCGGAATTTCCCACATGGGCGGAGCAGCATCTGCAGAAATTGCTTCCTCTTTTCTGGAAAAGGAAGAATAATCTGAACTTAAAAAGAAGCGGTACAATTCCTGCATCTCCTGTTCATTTATCCTTTTAAAAATGTTACAAGACAGTAGAATCATTTTCATTTTCTTCTTCACATCTAACAGATGTGTATTCTTCTTCATGTGTTCGACTAGCCAACTGAAGAGTTCATAATTGTACAATTTCATTCGATGGAAAATTTGGACATAGATAAACAGATTGTTAACACTCAAGTCCTTTTTGTTTTCCTCCAACACAATTAAACACAAGGCGTATAGGTTTACAAACCTCACAGTGCTGGCCGATAGAGACAGGATTAATTTATGTAGGAGTATCTTCAACTGGCGGGCTCCTAAATTCTGTTCCATTTTTTTTCTTACTTTTTCGCTTACTTCATCGAAGTAGGTTTCAAACTGCCGTTGCTCCTCCTTTGGTGTAGAACTAACAGAGAGGGAATCTACCATCGGTAGGTGGCTACCACACATGTCGTAACGGAACCGGTAGGTTTGCATCTGCTTCTGACTGTTCTGACTGTTCTCACTGTTCTCACTGTTTAGCAAGTGGACGTACGTGTGTTGTCCGTCCTGCATCGAGGAGGCATTCTTCCCCTTTTGTGTGTAATGAAAACACACCACATGTTTGTAAACACATCCATTGAACGTTTTCAATATATCAGACACTACCCTTAGGGAATCAATTTGATTTCCTAACGATTGTGGTTCTTCCGATCGGCTCAACCGATTAAGTAAAAAATGGAAGAAGTTATAATTTAGGTAATTACAGAGTAGGCAGCTCTTTATAATGTTCGTTGTTTGGAAGAGGTTAAACGGGTTTGCCGTGTCGGCTGTGTCGATTGTGCTATCCCTGGAGGAATCGGGATCTTCCCATTTGGGTTCATCAAACAGGTTAGAATTCAGAGAAGGAGACTTCCCCTGGCTTAACCGCTTTTCCTCTTTTCTGCATTGTCCTATATACAAGTTGTTGTCCATGATGTGGCTAGCCAAAATGTCAAACAAGTCCTCCATGTTATCGGGTCGAAACTTGGAGAACCCATAGAACACATTCGTTAGATGCACCGAATTGTAGAAGCGATAATTCTGCATGACAATCATTTTCAGATTTCTCCACAGATCCTCATTGTACACGTTTAGATTAGCCAGGTGGAGAAGAAGAGACGGAGTTAGGAAGTAACTGTCGTCTCTCACTTTTTCATTTAAAATTTGCACGACGCATTGAAGGATCTGCTTATTTCTTATCCTCAGTTTGTGCATGGCTCCAATGAGACGGAGGATATCCTCTAGCCCCACTTTCCCTTTAAGGAGGATCTTCACCAGTTTGTTCTGTTGTCCATTTGGTTCCGAAAAGGCGTTTCTAATCGTTTCTTCAAGGGGGCGGCGCCGACAAGTAGGAGCTTCTCCTTCCATAGATGGATTCGAAGCTCCACCACTTGCGTAGACGTGGAGGACGCTGGAAAAGGTTCTCGCGCTCAACTTCTTTAATGGGGTTCCCTCCAAAATTCTACCATTAATTTCGTTTACCACTTTGTCGTACTGTTCTATCCTGTGTAACTTTTGGATGATGTGCAGGAGGAGACTCCGTTGGGTGTTTGTCAGTCGGTCCATCCTCTTGGATAGGATGTTTATAAGACTATCCACTACATCATCTATGTGTGTTTCTTGTGCTTCTTCCATTTGGTGGTCCCCCCTAACGGTGCCACGACGGAGGGCGACCTTAACGATATATTCACTCTTACTCAAACCTAGCAATAGGAGAAACACATTTTTTGTATTCACAAGGTGGAAGTTTCTTTTCTCTTTACCTACTTCGATTAAGTAATGCTTCCACACGTTTTCATTCTTCACGCCATTCTTGCTTAGGTAGAAGATTTTTTTACACAAGTTGTTCACTGCATTCAGTTCTGGCTTCACTTTTTGGCTCTCTTCCTGTGGGGACCCCCTTTTCGCAGCCCTTATGGACATCTCACTCTCCACTTTGTGTCTACCCCTTTGACTAGTATAATCATTTTCGCTGTGGATCCTTCCATCTGTTCCGATTCTATTACGGGGGGAGTATCCAGAGGGGTTATGCATTTTCCCCCCCACGGGGACGTCCACTGGCACGTCCACTGATTGTGCCACTTTTTTCTGCGCTTCCCTGTCGCTGCTTATTGCAGTCCTTCTTGCTTGCCTCGATGCTCCCCTGATTTGCATCAAATTGGTTAGTTCCGTCCTGTGCCGATGGCGATGCAGCGGGCTCCTCGCATGTAGTCCTATTTTGCTCCCCTTCCCCCACGATTCGGAGTTCTCCCTTTTTGGGCCCCCATTTTGTAGGGAGTGAAAAAATGCCTGAAAGGCAAAGTGATACGTTTTGTTGCGCAGAGGGTCACGTGTTAGCAGCATAGGCCTCTTTCGCGCCCCCGTAGAAGAGAAACACTTTTACAAAATGGGTCCCTTAGTTGTGGCTGCGCTTTGTTATATTTCCCTCTCCTTTGTGTTGCTACGCTGTATGATGAAGATCCTCTCTTTGGTAGTCAACAGCGGAGTGGCACTCCCCTTCGCTTATGTTTCCACTTGCGTAAGATACGCGTAAGAACGGGTACATGCGTCCGCTAATTTTTTTTTTTTTTTTTTTTTATGCAACCTTTATGGGATTTATTTTTTTTTCCATTTTGACCAAATCGAAGGGTTGAAGTGGAGAGTTCCCCCGGGGGGCACTGCACAAAACGGGAGGAGTCAACACGGGTGTGTCGCAGTTATGACACTTAAAAGAGATGTGTGCAGTTGTGGCGGTTTAAAAGGAGGAAAAAATAAAAAAAACAGCATAACCTAAGGGGCGGTGACACAAAATAGAGCAGCGCAGCGCATAACAGCGATTGGCACAGGTGAACTGAAAACACAGGGGAAAACTCACTTTGGCGAAAATTTTAAAACGTGAGCTGCGCCCCTGAGGCAGTGCTCACATGTGACACATATTAACCTTGGAGAAGTACGTCCACGGTTGAGAAGCAGTCACGTCTTCTCCTTCTCCTTCTCCTTCTTCTTCTTCTTCTTCTTCTTCTTCTTTCCCTTCCAATGAGGGTCTAATCTTCAGCGTGACTTGCACACTTTGCAGAGGTCGTCGAGGCCCGTTGGTACCATATATACCCAACCGTCTCAACTCATCCTTGGCAGGCTCCTATAAAGCAAAAAATTTAAAACCAAATGGGGAAACAAAACCTCTTAATGATTTTACAAAATAGAACCCGCTAACAATGCAAACTCATGGGGGAGGGGGTCAGGTCAGCAGCTCTCCTACCTGTACGTGTTGTCTATAAGTTTGTTGAATTTCCCGAACAGGTACGACTTCTCCACTCTCTTCAACAGGGGCCTCAGGTTTTTGTTTTTTCCTACGGGGTAAACGGTGGCATGAATTGCGCGATGAACGGTGGCATGAATTGCGCGATGAACGGTGGCATGAATTGCGGGGTGGTCAATGGGCCACCTCTCCACGGGGAGACACACTCCCCCAGAAGGAACCCTCTAAAACGGGAGGAGGGGGGTCTTACTCACCTGTAAAGCGCGCATAATTAATCCCGTGCAAGGTTAGCCTCTTTTTCGACTTGGACTTTGCGTGCTTCTGGTAGAACATGCTGCAGGGGGGAAGCGGCGCGTGGAAGTGGGTCAGGGGTGTGCAGAAGGGTATCCACATGGGCATACAACATGGGTCTACAACATGAGGAGACCCTTTCGCTGTAAAGGCTCCTTTGTTATGAACATGTTGGAAAAACACGCCGTGGCGCGCTCGGCTGGGGAAACGGACACATGGCGGTTAACTACGGGGTCGTGCTTCCTCAGGGACAGGCGGAATTTGGACTTGTTGGGTGAAATGTACGTCGAGTAAATATAGTTGCTCGCACATGAGGAGATTAAATTCACATGGACCCGTTTGCTTTTGGATCGAAACAGCACACTGCTTAGGAAGAACATTTTTCTTACGAGCAAAGGCTCTGCAGGTGTGCGCTCAGGTAAGAAAAGGTATCTATGCGGAGGTGTAGATAAAATTTTTTTTTTTTTTTTAATCCTGTTTATGTTTATCTCTTTTGCGAACCGTCCTTTTTTCTTCTTTTTTTGTTGTCGCTTGGATGCCCTTTTGTGATCTAATGAATGTTCGCTTGAGCAGTGGTGATATGGCGGGAAGTACCCCCATGGATATGATATGCTCTCTTGGCCCCAACTTGTGCCCTCTGGAAGTGCACCACAGATGGGTGATATGATATGCCTTGTCACGGATCTTTTCGCCCATCTGTGGTGTGGACGCTTCATGCGCATCCGCGAACCGTACGCACGCATGTGTGACTAGGTTACGTGTGCCCCTCTTGGAAAGCTGCGGCAAAAATTGTGTCATTAATTTGAGGCAAACATGGTGCGATGATGTAGCACTATACTTATACTACTACCACAAGGAGAGTAAAAAAAAAAAAAGAAAAAAAAAATCCAAGGAAACCGTAGTGCGATGAATAAGCCATCGAGTCATCCAAGAAGCCGAGCCCCTCGAACCACCACGCATCTCCCCGTAAACACAATTCTGCGTGGCGAAAGAAAACACCTTCGCACTATAAGCCACGTTTGCGCTGTGTACCTATGCTGTGTAGAGAATGTGCCACCAGATTGGTGTGTGCGCTGGCTGATTTGTTCCATTCCGTTTAGTTTCTCACTTATACTACTTTTTTTTTGTGCAACTTCTTCTCCGCCACGCGTGGCGAAACGTGGCATGTTAACACCCGAGCGGTTGATTGAACGGTTAAGCAGGAGGGAGCCAAACAGGGGAAAGTTCGTATCCACGCCCAGCGGAAGATGAACAAAAAGAAAGGGTAGAGAAGTAAAAAAAATACCTAAAACGGTAGACCTGTAAAACCTGCTAAACTAGAAAAGGAGCACCCACTCAGCGGGCCCAGACAGTTAGTCGCGTTATCAAGGAGCACGCCAAGGAAAGCATTTAGGAAGGCGCGTGATCGCCGAGCCGACATAGGGGAAGCTACACACGTGGGTGTGATGCAGTTGTGACCGTACTGAAATTGCACTGAAACTGCATTGTGATCGCATTCAACCGTACTGAAACAGCATTGTGACCGCACTGGACCGCACTGGACCGCACCGAATCGAAACCCCTTAGAAATGAAAAAGGACTACCACTCACAGACTCTGTCAAAATGTAAAGTCATTCTAGGCGGGTTCTTGATACACTGCACGCTGGGCAGCATCTACTGTTTCTCCAACATCAGCATTTACGTCATCTCTTATATGAAGATCATAGGTTGCTCCAATGTCAAGTACAAGGATAGTAGCTGGGTTTATGTCCTTACTCTAATTTTTCAGTGTTTTTTTGGCTTTTTCGGGGGAATGCTGAATCAGCATTTGGGCCCCCAGATTAGCGTCTTGCTGGGCGGGTGGCTCATGTGCCTGGGGATTCTCCTGTCCTATTTCACTGTGTTCAACTTTTACCTGTTTTTGATGACCTATGGGATTTTGTGCGGCATTGGATGCGGCATTGCCTACCCGATTCCGCTCTCCGTGGCGGTGAAGAGGCACTACGACTACAAGGGAGTGGTGAGTAGCAGCAGCGTGATAGCAGCGTGGCGGAGACGCACTGCACATGGATGAACGAATGGAACCGCCAATATGGACATTCCTGCCAATTCTCTCACCCGTCACCTGCACAGTGCCGCGATGTTTGTCCATTTCTTCCCCCCCCTATCCTTCTCTCACAGATCAGTGGAATCATCTTCGTGGGGAGAGGTATGGCAGTTTTCCTCATATGCCCCCTTCAGAATTACTTCATAAACAGATACAACTACATGCCGGATTACACCCCCGAGTTGGATCATACAGACGACAAATACTTCAGCAATCTGGAGATCCTTAACAGGGTTCCCTATCTGTTCATTTATGAAGGGATATTTTTTGCAATCATTCAGTTTATAGGTGCCTGTTTGATAGCAGATTCTAGAGAGACATCAAACGAGTTCTTACCTTTCAATGATAAGAGTAGCAAACTTCTATATCTGGACGATAGGGGGTATGCAAATAAGAGTCCCAAAGGAATGTCCAGCTCCTTTAGGACTCTCTCCAACACGTCAAATTTCTCCCTCAGAGAGTCTAACAGTATCACCTTCATAAATCGAGATTTCATCTTAATATGGTTGATGGTCTTCTTTAACTGGCAAGCTATTTCGTATACTCAGGTGTTTTGGAAAATATTTGGATTGAATTATCTTAGCATCGATGACAGATCTTTGTCTTTCCTCGGAGCTGTGTCTTCTCTCTTTAACATCATGGGAAGGATTTTCTGGGGATTCATAAGTGACTTAACGAGCTTTAAGACGGCACTGATATTGATGAGTATGCTGATGAGTTTCCTAACTGTTACATTAACGCTGTCTGGTTTATGTGGCAAGATTACCTACTGCATTTGGGTTTGCCTCATTTTCTTTTGTCATGCTGGGACCTTTTCCATTTTCCCTTCCATCACTGCACATACCTTTGGCACTCGTAATTTTGGTCCCATCTTTGGCCTCCTCTTCACTGCTAGGGCTTTCTCCAGCATAATCAACGCCATGTTGGCAGCCGTCATTTTGAACAACGTTGGGAATATTGCTATGTGTGCACTTGTTTCCATTTCCTCCTTCGTCAGCATCATGCTGGCGCTGGCTTTTTAGCGTGGAAAAAGAACAGGAATCGCGGGGGGAGGCGCTCAACGTGGGATGCCATCATGTACAGCTGCGTGGTGACCGACATGAGAGCGACGCGAAGAACGAGATAACCTCCGCATGCACACCCAGAGTCCCCACTTGAAGACGTACGTTAAAATGTACTCTTCCCTTTTTTTTTTTTAAGTAAACATTTGGAGAGGTATAGAAGAGTAGGGGTGTGATGACCCCATCTCAAAGGGGAGTACAGCGGTGCAGACGGGAAGCTACAAAGGCAGGACGCCCGAATCTGTTACCGCCCCTACATAGTGCCTTTCTCTCCCCTTTGAAGACCCAAGAATGTAAAAAGATGGAGCAGCCAAACGGTTAGCCACACATAGTTATGCTACTTTTACATGCTCATT